ACACACACACACACACACACACACACACACACACACACACACACACACACACACACACACACACGTCAGATCTCAACCCATTCTCACTCCCAAGTCGTCACATATTGACGCTTTTCCAAGGTTCCCTCCGCATCCGATTTTGGTGCGTTGGGTAGGCCCCTTGTGTCAGTTTTTGACAAGATGGGGCGGAATCTGTTGTCAAAGACCCCTGGTGGAGCAACCTGGAAAATCAGCGGGCGGCAAAGACTGACGCGAGGGGTCACCCGACGTGTCAAAACAAGACGCAGTGGGAACTTTGGAAAAGCGTCAATATGTTGAGGAGTCGGGAGTGAGAATGTGTTAGTCTGGCAGGCATAGTTTGACCCAAGTGCAGGCAGGCAGATTCAAAGTAAAAGTATTTAGTAAATAAATAAGCTGACGGGGCGGCAAAACAGAAACTTACAATAAACAGGAGAACACGGGGAGAAGCAGGTCCCTAAACAGGTCATGTTTGTAAATGAGAAGTGGTTCTCAAACAGTTTACCTGGATAAAAAAATGGTTAAATAAATGAATAAATAAATAAAAAGAAGCCAGGGCAGAAACCAAACAATGACCGGATACTAAGTGAAGAGAACAGGCTGACTAAATACAGAACTGGGATGACTGAGAGTGAAAACAGCTGAGCTAATTATGAGAGAAATCAGGTGAGATGTTAAAGAGAAGCCTGAGAACTGAGGAGAAGTAATGGTGTAAAAGGACACAAGAGGGAGACAGGAGATAAGACACAAAACCACAGAATACTACAACACACACAACACTACACACACATAATGCACACACTCACGTTTACCCACTTGAATAAAGAATAAAAGTAAAAATAAATATTAAGAATAAAAGTTTAGTTTCATGTAAAATCATAATCATTGATTTGATCAGCAGTTCTCTGCCACATTAACTCTCTTGCAGCAGCAACAGTATTGTTTATTTATTTATTTATTTATTTTAAATATATGTTGATATTCTCCAAATGCTGCCATTAATATTTCTAGTTTCAGTTTAGAGAAATGGACTTCTGGTCTTCTTATTTTCTCCCGTTGCCATGGTGAATCGTTATCTGACTTCCATTGATGAGGGCTTCCTGCTCCAACTTAACTCAGGGGTAACCTGACTCAGGGTTAAGTTATCCAGTTGATATCACCAGTTCTGAAACTGAAAATCCTGATTATCACAGAGCAGGGTAAGTTGACTCAGAGTATCTGTGTTAACCCAGGGTTTGTTAAGCTGCTGTATGAAACAGGACCCTGCTCAGCTTTGTCTCCTTCACCTCTCTCCAGGAAGTATTGGCAACTTCTGCCTTTCCCAACATCGCCAAAAAGGTTTAGACCATTGATTTATCACTGCTTTCACCATGTCGTTCTATCGCACACTCATATTCCAAAACAAAAGCATCTCTGTCCAAGGGGAAGTTTGCACGAGAAACGCTTTTCCTTTGTCAATCAATCCAAGAGTTAATCCACAGGTGATTTGCTGACATCAAAATCGTAAGCAGGTTGTATTCGCTACTACCCGCTTTGAACCACTGGAGAGGAGGTTCAGAAACTGCATGAATATATGCGTTTGGATCCTAATGGAAACACATTAGGCCGAGGCCGAACCAAGCAGAACCACATACAGGCGCTGGTGCCTTAGGTTGGTTGTTGTGAAGGGGTTCATTTTCACCATTAAAATTATTCTGCCATCAGCCCCCACTGTTGTCTTCTGTGAGCATCCAGGTCTTTTTGCTTTGACCAGTGCTTGCTTTCTGTCTCAGCATGTACCAAACTGTAGATTTTGCCACTCCTTATATTGTAGCAATATTAGGAGATGAGACAAAACATCTGTGGAATGTTCTGAGGAGGGCTGTGCACAAGAGGTCTGACAGATTTGGAGTGTCAAAAGATTGTGCTTCCATAAAGTATCAGTTTAAAGGTGTGCGCACTTAAGCAACTGCTTTATTTTATCCCCCCCTAAAATATATACATATTTTTTTCAATAAAGTCCGACAGATTATAGCTCAAATTAAAAAGTTTTTTTTAATAATTCATCTTGGTGTCATATTGTACATCACAAAAACCTAAAATTTAACAAGGTTGAGTAGACTTTTTATATCCACTGTACATAATGAGAAGCTGCAAACCTCTGGGAGAATGTTTTTGGATAGATGAGAAAAAACTGCAGCTTTTTATAAACAAGTCCCTTCTTTTCTGTGTTCACAGACCCAAACGAAATAAACAGATGGACCTACAGTGTATTTAAAAATAAACCAACAATGTAAAGTAATGTTTGGTTTTCATTAGCTGATTATTTGCAGTTATTTTCTTTCAGCCTCTGTAAGTTTCATGTTATTTTAGTAACTTTTGTGCATTTTCTTTTTTTTAACAAAAGGAAAAATTAGGTTTCGTAGAAGTGAATGTTTATTACAAAACTAAAGCTTTAATTTGTCAAAAAAGCGCCTAACATTAGCTGCATTTCCTTGCAAATATGCGCAAAACTTTGTCGATATTCTGTTAATGTCGAAAACACAGTTTCGCAACTGCAGTGTTTCCACTAAGTAAGAAATGTTGTTAAAGTCACGTGTGAATATGTTTGTTCTCGTGATAAGTTGTTATAAACATGGCGGCGATGGATGTAAACACATAGCATGTTGCTACCATGACACTAGCGCTCATCATCAGAGGAGATGTCGACATCTTTTATCGAGGCTTTCCAGAGACAAGTCCCTACTTGGGAGCGGCTACGTATGCTGTGTTTTTGGAAAACTGTAGTCGGTGAGTTTACTATTTTATACTACTTCTGTGATATTACTACTACTTCTACTTCCTGTTAGCTTCTTCGTCGTCGTCTTTTTCACCAGTAGAAACAGCCGGTTGTTGATCACGTGACTCCTGTGATGTGAAAAAAGTGTTTCCATTGTAGTTTTGCAAAAAACACCAATTTCAATACGGCTGAAAAACCACCTCATCCTAGCGCAAAAACATTTTGTCGAAAAACGTAATTTTTTTCAAAATTGACGTGTTTCCATTGGGCAAATTTATTTTCAAAATTCAAATTTGCGCATTTTCATGGTCAATGGAAATGCAGTTACTGATCCAGTGTTTAATTCCCGGCACTTAGCACCCCTACGTACATGATAACCAGAAATCAATGAAACTGCATCCACCTGAGAAAAGTCATGCTAGTCAGAGTGAAAAACTTTTGAACTGGTATTTTCTACAGACTAAACTGAGTATAAGACAAATAACAACAAAATAAGTTTCACGATTGAGTTGAAACTTATTTTCTACTGAAAATCATTAGTTTTACTAAAAATAAGTTATTTTATCTCAGTGACTTAGTAATAGCTGCTCTGGCTTACTGTATATCTCTGAGGTTGGTCTTTCTGTAGTCAAGGGTCAGACTTGTAATTCCCCGTTGCTTTATCTCCTGCAGTGACAGCTTCTCCTTTGTGGCCTGCTGAAGCCCTCGCACCCTTCCTCTGTCTGTGTCGGGGGTCCATGTTACCTGGTAACAACAAGCATGACAATAGGGATCCAAAAGTGCAATCTACATTCTCCTCTCATGTTTCTCTTCCACACAACACTAATGTAATGTAGATGCATAAGGTTTTTCTCCACTGAAGAGGGTCCAAGGTAGACCAGAGCTGGTGCTAACCCCGGTTCTGAATGACTACTTTCAAGAAAAAGTTAAGAACCAGGGGCCTCATATAAACGGTGCATGTGAACAAAAACCTACCATACAAAACTGTATCAAGAGTGAAATGAACGTGAAAATGTGTGCAGCTTCACACAAACTACATGGCTGGCATACATATGTTTTTGTGGTTCTGGTTCCATTGGCGACACTTAAGCCAGGTTCCCACCAAATGCGTTTTGAGCAGCAAAAATGCTCCCAACGCCTCCAGTTGGACACACTATGTTCAGACTGGGACAAGACTAGAGGTGCGTCTGAAGAGGGAGGAGCGTCTTGGTTTTTTTCCTGTCTGTCTTTAATGACAGGTGAAATAAAGATAAAATAAAGAAAATGGCTTTGCTTTATTTACTAAAGAGCAAGGGAACGCTGCGCACAGCAGATAATTAATTAACCAGATGATTTAGAGGCGGTTTGTTCAGTTAGTTTTGCCACTCCAGGAGCTAAGAGCTGACAAACTTTTGTTTATTTATTTTTTGTCCCGAACTCAGCGAACTGCTGTCTCATCACATCGGTGCTGATATCTCCAGCCAGAACACCAACTGTAGATGGTCGATTTCAGCTAAAGAGCTCCTGTCTGTCTGTGTCGGGTTCAGGATTGGCTTCTGCATGTCCAGCAGCCAAAGTTCAATTAAGCCCAGTCCTCACCAAATGCATTTTGAGCAGCCAAAGCAGCTAGTTTACATGCAAAGTCTATGGTGGACGCGCATCTAGGAGCAGCGCAGCACCTAGCGGCGTGTTTTGCCAGTTTAGCGCAGCGTGCAAGGTAGCGGTAGGATGCGGCAGAGCATTTTCCGTGCATGCAGCACATACAGAGCAGCAGCTGCTGGAATTCAACAAATTGAACTTTGGCTGCTCGATGCGCAGCGGAAACCAATCAGAGAGAATAATTTTTCCACTTGACGGTTCCCTGAACCTGACACAGACAGACAGGAGCTCTTTAGCTGAAATCAACCATCTGCAGTTGGTGTTCTAATATCAGCACCGATGTGGGTCAGCAGCTTGCTGAGCTCGGGACAAAAAAAAGTCCATCAGCTCACAGCTCCTGTAGTGGCAAAACTAACCAAACAAACCACCTCTAGTTCATCTGGTTAATTAATTATCTGCTGTGTGCAACATTCGCTTGCTCTTTAGTAAATAAAACAAATTAATTAATTAATTTTATCTTTATTTCACCCGTCATTAAAGACAGACCGAAAAAACCAAGACGCTCCTCCCTCTTCAGACGTGCCTTTAGTCTTGTCCCAGTCTGAACATAGTGCGTCCAACTGGAGGCGTTGGGAGCATTTTTGCTTCTCAAAACGCATTTGATGAGAACCCGGCTTTATTTAAACTCGAGCAGCTGCTGCTTTGGATGTGCCACATGTACGGAAAATGCTCTGCTGCATCCTACACTGAGGCTCCACATGGGCTTTCCAGAGAGAGCTGGCAGACTGGTCGGGACTGTGTCAGCCCACTCTGAGTTGAGCCATGCCAGCTGAATGGGACATCCTCATCCGTACGATTGCAAAATATAAATCCCCAACACAGCAGTGAAAACTCTCCACTGAGGCTCTGCGACTTATTCCCTCTTATCTACTATTTAATAAATCACATTCCACAATCTACCAAACACCTGAGTTCCTCTGTGTTTACAGTACTGTATTTTTCGGACTATAAGCCGCGACTTTTTTCCTGAACTTTGAACCATGCTGCTTATAGTCTGGTGCGGCTTATACGTGGATTTTTTTCTTCAGCCACCAGGGGGCTCTTTAGCTGGAGGTGGGTGCTCTGTAGCGGAGGTGGGGGCTCTTAGCCAGAGGTGGGAGCTCGGAGGTTTGGTTACCGCGAATAA